TTCTCTCTTGATTCTGTGAGTGGCACGTCATCGTGGACATACTACACGCAAGATTACTATTGCAGCTACTTTAAGACACAGCGCATCCTCATTGGCCACCCAAGTGTGAACAACAAACCTTCACTTCCTTCGGTATTCTACTACAGCGAGTTCCTTGGTAGCTCGGTTTATCGAGGTGAACTCGGTGATCTTTACAGCACATTGTTCGCTGGCGACGTCTTGCCCACCATGCAGGTACACCCGGAATCCAGACAAACCTCCTCTCTTTGTCCCTGGTACCACTTTTGCCACAATTCTTACTCCTCCTCCTCATGTGCCACGAATTCTGTCTTCGATCTGAACAATCTGTTCACATACACGGAACCACGGAGACCTTCGTTGACTGCGGACTTTTGTCCGTGGTCCATGCTGGAAGGACGAGGTACTCTAGACCTCTTTGGTGGATTGTTTTGTGAAAAAGGAATCTATCCTTGTGGAAGTGAGTTTTCTCTTGATGACGATGATGTAGAAAATCTGGGAAGTGACAGCGTTGTCGATGCAGAACTGGAATATTCATCTGGAATTGTCGAATCAAGTGAATTGGCTTTCGATGCTAAATACAAAGGTGAAGAAGAAAGCAATCGTGATGACGTAGAACTGCAGCCTGCTTTGGAAGCTGAAATGCAAAATATGCCCGTCAATGGAGCTTTGTCACCGACTTCGTCGACAACTTATCACCGAATACCATCCGAATCCCTACTTTGCCAATACTCCTGGACTTGTTCTTTTGATTTCCATGAAGCCGCCAAATCAATGAACTCTAAGTTGCTACCACGGTGGCATTGGATGTTTCGTCAGACACGGTGGCCTCTTCGATTTGCGCCGCAACAGAATATCGAGCTGTCTATGAATGGAATCAGAATCCCACCTTGGCGAGCGAGTGCCGGACGACTGCTGTCGGATGTCATTAGATTTTGTTCTGCACATCGTGAGGTGAAGAACCTTGTTCTTCTTGACCCCATGGTAAACATCCACATTATTATCTTTGATCCACTGTTGAAACGTGGCGTACTGTTGTTTTGGTTAAAGAGTGTAGTTTGATTTTGAACACCTAGCGTTCTGCAAACTAAACATTTTTAGTTTCGTACTGCGCTGCTGACATGCGAATGTTGTTTTGGCAGGCTTTGTCACCGCTGTCGCCACTGCTCAATTTGATGCGACACTCCGTGGAAGCAAAAGCTCACCTGACTGGTATTCTGTGGATGACCCCAATTGACGCCATTTCCCCCTTCTACCGCGTTCCCATTCCTCGTCAAGAG